CCAGGATATTAGAGAGACAAGGTGGGTGAAGTCACATTTTTTTAATGGGCTGACTTCAGAGCACAAAAGCTTGTCTCACCAACAGAAGTTGGTCCAATAAAAGATATGACTCCCCCCACAGACACTGTCACTCCGCCCAGGGGCAGTTTCAGAGTGTGTGTGTGGGGGGGAAATTCACAGGAAGATTCTTCGCTTCCCAGAAGAGTGTGACAAGCAGTAGAAGCCAAGATAAATGTAGAACTATGGAAGAAAGCTGTGGAAAGCATCCTCCACCTTTTGTTGCCCTTTGTCACTGACGATCTAGCTACAATATATATTTTCCTTCTCACAAAAATCTCTCTCACACTGGATGCCATCCTGTATTAAGATCAGTCAAGACTCCTTTATTCCAGCCCTCTGCTGACTTCCCTTTCTGGCACTCGGTATTGCCTGAAGGCTCAGTAATCCCTTAACATAGGTACATGGTGGAAAAGACATAGAAGGAAAGTGGGAGGGGGTGGACTGAGAGGCAGGTATGCTCTGAGCACAGGGCTAGGAGCATGGAACACTGGAGTTCTAATCCTAGCTTCGATACTGTCTCTCTCTGTAGTCTTGAGAAATCACTTAACCTCTTGGGCTCAGTTTCCTCATCTGCAAAATGGGGGTAATAATAGTTACCTCACAGTGGAGGTGTGAGGTATGATCCGTGTGTATAAGGTGCTCTCTAAGGGTTAAGTATTAACATTTTTGTGTTGTAGGAATATTATACAGAGGCTCCTTCCGCGTCACATGAGATGCACCATAATGACTGAGGAGAGCACGGAGCTGTCCAGTTTTGGCAGCGACTGTGCAGCCAACTGTTGCTGTAATGTTGAGTGATACAAATGTTTCTATAATCTAGAGGGTGCTGATGGGGAGGGCAGGGGGGGAGATTATTGCATGGATGTAAAGTCTGAGACTCCAGCTACTTGGGAGAGGTGGTAGAATACTAGAGGGGGAGTGCAAACCCCTGGTACTGACACCAGGGAGTGAATTCGTACTGGTTTACTTCTGCCTTTGTTTCACCCCCCTCATTGACTGTACAAGACTGGTGTCTCCATTAGCAACATTTCCTGATTTGACGTTGTGATTCTTACTATTGTAAAGGATTGAAATAAAGCTTCTAGATGTTCAACCTTGGCACCAGTGTGAATTTGCATTTCTTTGGGAGGTGATACTTTTCTGGGAAACGCACCCATTCTTTGGATGGTGGGTTAATCCTAGGCTGCTGCTACGTAAATCCACCACGGGCAGAGGCAGGAGCAGGGTACGTTCATTCTCCTGCACTATTGGCAGCTCCAACTCTTAGAGGGCTCTCGTTTGCTATGTGTAGTCAGTCACTCAGCCTCCATATTCCCCTCTTCACTGTGGAGGTCAGTCCAGAGAATAGAATGTAGTTGAGTGAAATGGGGATCTCTCTTAGATCCTAACGCACCATGTGCGCTGATGGTGCTGTATAAATGGCTTAATCTGGGGAGCCCAAGTCCTCTGACCTGTGGTGTACGTGGCTGCGTGGTAGGAGAACGGACTGTTACGGTTCCTTCAGTGTCACTGGTGCTGCCTCTCAACGGGAGCTGCTTTGCCTGTGCTACAGGGAGCGGAGAGGAAATACAAAGTGAGGTTCCAGTTTGTTGTGCTGATAACTTGAGTCTTGACTCCCAGCTGTGAACCTAATTCTGTGACTTTGGGCAAGTGACTTACTGTATCTTGGTCTCAGGTTCCTGATATGGACAATGGGGTAAATCTTGCTTCCTGTGGATACTTTAATGTTGGCAAAGTGCTTTGGAGACCTAAAGCTCAGGGACCAGATTTCCAGACACAATGAGCATGTGCAACTCTTCCAACTGCGAGCTGTGGGGGTTGAGCACTGCTGCAAATCAGGCTGAGAGGCAGAATTAGAAGAAAGGGGAGGGGCAGAAATTCAGCTGGGCTGTTTTTAGAAAGGCCCTAGAGTGGTGCACAAATGAAACCTCTCCAGCTCCCTGCACTGAGTTCCTCTTATTTTTGTCCCTTTATCAAGTCCAGGCCTAGTGCTCTGTGCTGTGGGGAAACCGCTGCTCTTTTCATCCTGACTGTAGCGCAGGGGTCTCAAACTCCCGGCCCGTGGGGATCCAGCACTTTTGGGGCTGGGTCTCTCTGTGGCCCCACCTGGAGCTCCTCCGTCAGGGGCTCGGGCAGTGGAGCTGATCTGGGTCTGCCTGCTCGCTCCAGGGGCGGGTCTGTGCACTGCCCCTGAGCCCAATGGGATGCTGTGGGGGCCGTGCCTGGGGGCAGCAGTGAGCAGAAGCCCCCCTGGCCTGCCCCCCTCCCAGAGCCTGCACCCCCCCCACATACTCCTCCCAGAA